TCCCCTTCTGCCGCTGTTCCCACTCCTCTGGTCTGTCCCATGCAACAACTTCCCCTTGAAAGGCAATGAAAGGGCCCAACAAATGAACTTCTGACAGTTAAGACTAAAACTGATGTGATGTATGGAACCATTGCTTCATCGGTTTCTCAAGGACTCCTGACTCAACTGTTTGCTTAGGTCCCTTTTTCTGTTAAGATTGAAACACTAGTTAGGCTCCCTGCTTAAATCACTAACAGACTCAAGGCCTTCAGTGGACACTTAGGCAACTCCTAGATTTGGAAAATTAAGATAAGGGGGGGCTTGAACAAAGAGATAGAAACCCTGTTACAGGGACGGTGATGTCACTGATTTAGGAAGGAGGCACCTGGACTTGACTTCACAAAGCACTGAAGACCCTCACCCTATTTTTACTACACATGCTCAGACTATGTAAATGAATTCCAGGAACTCACTGTAAGATACCCCTTTTTTTAGGAGATCTAATGGATATGCATGATGTGTGTATGTAAACTGATGTCCCTTGCTAATTAATTCTTGGGAGGGGAGCCCTTATGGTGGAGAATCCCCAGGGCAACCCCAGCACTGCTAATAAAGAACACCTGCTCAACAGTAAGAAAACTTTACTGTTGAGTCAATTTGGTTTTTTTACCATCCACCCCCCTCCAGGAGGGGAAGGAGAAGGCTACAGTCATTTCAGGGAAGACACAATCTCTCTCCAGTTACATGTCAGAGTCACCCTACTCAGCAGGGGTGTAGTTTCACCCCGCATTCCCAGCCAGCAGCAATGTACAGGACAAGTCTGGAACTTGTCTGTGCCAGCCCCGACCCCACAGCCCTCACCCCTCTGGCTGTGCCTACCAGGAAACCAGCTTGACAAAATGGTCGTTCAGCGCAATGCCAGCACCCGCATCAAAGGTGGAGGAATGGCTGTCACCATTGAAGTCACAGGAGACAACCTGGAACAGAAAGGAAATTTTAACAGGTTACCCACAGCCTGAACCAGTGTGTCCAAACCAGGACCCCAACAAGGCTCCTACCACCAGAAAAATGAGGTGAGCACCAAAATCCACCAAGATTTACTTACCTGGTCCTCTGTGTATGCCAGGATGCCCTTCAGGGGCCCATCAGCAGCAGCCTTCACTACCCTCTTGATGTCATCATACTTGGCCTGAGAGGAGAAATTTAAGATGGTCAGATCCCAGCTCAGACAAAATGTCCGCTGGGGGGAGGGGAGGGAGCAGAGACACATGGGAGCACCATGGCAGGTGCTATTTTCATGAAGATCATATCTTAGGGAAGAGATGGATGCAGAGAGAGCAATTCCAGGTAAAAAGGAAAAGTTTGGAAGAAGCAGGGGCAAGGTCTGGAGGTTTTTAGGGCCTTGCCCACACCACTTACTGGTTTTTCCAGACGGCAGGTCAAGTCCACAACAGACACATTGGGGGTTGGCACACGAAAAGCCATTCCAGTAAGTTTCCTGAGAGACACAGAAGTCAGCACCTAGAACCCCTCTGGAATGGGTCTGAGTTGGCCAGGCACTGGCTGCAGCCTCCTGACAACCAAGAAGGGCCAACACTCACCCATTGAGCTCAGGGATGACTTTTCCTACAGCCTTAGCAGCCCCAGTAGATGCTGGGATAATGTTCTGGGCAGCGCCTCTGCCATCCCTCCACAGCTTCCCAGATGGCCCATCCACTGTCTTCTGTGTGGCTGTGATGGCATGGACAGTGGTCTGGGGAAAGAAAAAGAGCACAGGGGTAAGGACACAGCCAGTGCTTTCTAGAAAATGCATCTTAGGGGATACAGGGTGTACACATGCTTCTCCTCACATGAGGGGACATGGGGAAAGGGCACCCTCCTGAGCAGCAAGCTCCAGACCTACCATAAGACCTTCCACAATGCCAAAGTTGTCATGGATGACCTTGGCCAAGGGTGCCAGGCAGTTAGTAGTGCAAGAGGCATTGCTGGGGAAAGAGAGAGAAAGGCTTGTCAGTAAGAGGCAACACATCTACGAAGGTGAGATGAGACCCCACATAGCTGGTGAGAACTCCGGGCCAGAGAGAATCTTCCTCTCTCCTTACCTGACAATTTTCAGAGACTTGTCATACTTGTCATGGTTGACACCCATCACAAACATGGGAGCATCAGCTGAGGGGGCAGAGATGATCACACGCTTAGCACCACCCTTCAGGTGAGCCTAGAAAAGAGAAAGGGATTAGATAACCCAGAATCCTTCCAACACCTCACTTCAGAAAACCTCCTCTTTCCTTCCAGCCCCATCTCAAGCACCTCTGTGCACTAGTAATGCACCCCCTCAAGCAGGAGCAGCAGCATCCCTTCTCCTGCATGCCACACTCACCCCAGCCTTCTCCATGGTGGTGAAGACACCAGTGGACTCCACAACATATTCAGCACCAGCATCTCCCCACTTGATGTTGCTGGGGTCACGCCTGAAGAACAAAGCTGTTATGAGCTGCGCTGCGAGGCACATGCTTTCATTCTCCCAAGGGGCAAAAGGGAGTGCTACTTACTCCTGGAAGATGGTGATAGCATTCCCGTTAATCACAAGTTTCCCATTCTCAGCCTTGACTGTGCCCCGGAAGTGACCATGAGTAGAGTCGTATTTGAACATGTAAACCTAGCAAGGAGAGAAGAGAAGGTCAGACACCCCAGCTGCCATCTCCCCAAGCCTCGCTCTGCCTACACCGCAGTCTCAGCTCCCCACCTCCCTGGTGACCTTGTCCAACTGGAAGTGGCTCTGCTGAACCTCCCAGCCCTGCACCACCACCCTACACCTGCTTTTCCTGGGAAGCTACTAGAACAGAGCCAGAGGAGCCCTGCTCAGCAAGACCTGGAGGAGGCACTGCAAAGCAACTCACCATGTAGTTGAGATCAATGAAGGGATCGTTGATGGCCACCACCTGGACTTTGTTGGAGAGGATGGCAGCCCGGGTGACCAGGCGGCCGATACGGCCAAATCTGGGGAGAGACAGACATGGGTGAGGAGGAGCCACAGTGAAGCCGCCGGGCTGGGCACGGCCTGCTGCCTTCCTTCGGGATCATCATCTGCCACCTCCTGCTCAGCAGCCACGTCCAAAGGCCGATGTGCCTCGGTTAAAGATTAAGAGCGACCCCCGCACCGGAAAGGTCAAGCTCTAAATTTACTGTGGGCCCCCGGGGATCCAGTTACTCCTCAGTCCGGTGGGAGAAGGTCACGTCCCACCATGGCCGCCACCGACACACGATCCATCGGGCAACCTTTCAGGGGGTGGGGTGGGGGGTGCTCACAGCCCGCCGATGGGGTGCGGGGTCCCCTCGGGGGGTGCGTGTGGGGGCCGGGGCAGCCGTGCAGCAGCGGCGCTTCCGCGGTGAGTCACCCCGAATCTGCAGGGGGAAGTGACTCAGCAGCTCGCCCTGCCCCAGCCCCTGCCCCTCAAGCCCGGCACAGGGGGCGATGGT